CTGGTATTGCTTGTATTAATGGGGAATGTCAGAAATCACGTATTGTTTTCCTAAGAAAAACAATTTAGGTATACCTGATGGACTCCTTACCTTTGAAAAACTAAACTTGTTTGGTAAATTAGATGTTATAATCAGAAATGTATAGGACGTTGAGAAGACAATGATTTCTTTTAATGACAGACGTAATGGTAAGTAACATCCTCCAGGTACAGTGGCTTATATAATAAGTAGGCTAAAAAGTGATTTTTCAGTGACTATTTAATGTGAAAGGGATATCTACCTCCTCCTGTGCTTTGCAACACATTATATCCTCTCAAATAGAATACTGGCCTGTATCAGGAAAGCCATCCCCTTGAGGCACTCACGAGGATAAACGTAAGTGACTTCTCATATAGAGACTCGGGCAGCTCATGTGTGTGTGTGTGTGTGTGTGTGTGTGTGTGTGTGGTTGCATTTTGCCACAGAGAACCCACTTACATGGCGCCAGAGCTGAGTGTTACTGTTCTTTCCTGACTGGCTTCACCACTGACCTCTCCAAGTCAGTCATGCTTCACCTGAAAATGGGACTAAACAGTTCCCCACCAGCATCGAGGTAGGAACAGAAGTTTTAGGGATCTTTTTAGACTTTATGATGTATCAAGAATCATTTTGTTTTCTTTCACACTCTAGTATTTTCCCCAAGGAGCTAGAAATTGGGAACTGCAGTTTCCTTTGACATACATACACAACTGAGCGCAAAACAACAACAACAACAACAAACAACTCCAAAACAAAAGTCCATGAAAGGAAACAATCAACAAAACTAAAAGGCAACCAACGGAATGGGAAAAGATATTTGCAAATGGCATATCGGACAAAAGGCTACTATCCAAAATCTATAAAGAACTCACCAAACTCCACACCCAAAAAACAAATAATCCAGTGAAGAAACGGGCAGAAAACATGAATAGACACTTCTCTAAAGAAGACATCCGGATGGCCAACAGGCACATGAAACGATGCTCAACGTCACTCCTCATCAGGGAAATACAAATCAAAACCAAACTCAGATACCACCTCACGCCAGTCAGAGTGGCTAAAATGAACAAATCAGGAGACTATAGATGCTGGCGAGGATGTGGAGAAACGGGAACTCTCTTGCACTGTTGGTGGGAATGAAAACTGGTGCAGCTGCTCTGGAAAACACTGTGGAGGTTCCTCAAAACTTAAAAATAGATCTACTCTATGACCCAGCAATAGCACTACTAGGAATTTACCCAAGGGATACAGGAGTGCTGATGCATAGGGGCACTTATACCCCAATGTTTATAGAAGCACTTGGAACAATAGCCAAATTATGGAAAGAACCTAAATGTCCATCAACTGATGAATGGATAAAGAAATTGTGGTTTACATACACAATGGAATACTACTTGGTATTGAGAAAGAATGAAATATGGCCTTTTGTAGCAACGTGGATGGAACTGGAGAGTGTTATGCTAAGTGAAATAAGTCATACAGAGAAAGACAGATATCATATATTTTCACTCTTATGTGGATCCTGAGAACTTAACAGAAGACCTGGGGGAGGGGAAGGGAAAAAAGGTTAGAGAGGGAGGGAGGCAAACCATAAGAGACTCTTAAAAACTGAGAATAAACTGAGGGTTGATGGGGGGTAGGAGGGAGGGGAAAGTGGGTGATGGGCATTGAGGAGGGCACCAGTTGGGATGAGCACTGGGTGTTGTATGGAAACCAATTTGACAATAAATTTCATATTAAAAGCAACAACAACAACAAACAACTCCAAAACAAAAGTCCATGAAAGACAAAAACAAAAAAAAAAAAAAAGAAGGCAGTAAAATCACATGAAAATGAGCCACACAGGCCCATATCTTTAAGAAATGTCTATTCTATAATTGCAGCAAATCTGGAAAGACACAATATCCGATTTGGGGAGAATGAGGATAAGGATGATTACATTCTTAATATAAATAATGGAAATCACATATCCTCGAATCCTGAGGGATCAGTTACCAGATGCTTTGTTTCCATTCTGGAGATAAAGACAAACGGGCATAATGAGGCTAGTGTTTTTCTACCCAGGTCCTGTGGCCTATTGGCAATTGACCTGGGGTACACCCATATGTCTCCATTTGACTTTCCACAGCAAGTACTAGTTCTTGGAGTCCTCTTGTGTCATCTGCACACTGACTGGCACATTCGTAGAGAACAGCAAGCAGAGGGGTGAAACCTCCGGGAGTTTCCACGATGTGACAATGACATGCTCACAGCATACATTTCAGAATCCATGTGCTATGAAGTTTCTCCTGCTCTGTCACAAAAAATGTGACCAGTCGGATGACATGGCTGCCAGTGTCCTTAACCATCATGGTAATAAAAGTCTGAAGATAAAATTACTGATTCCAGTAATCGAGCATGCATTGACTCATGTATGAGCACTTTAAGTTGTCCCATTCCAATGACAGGGGCAGTGCGAGGAGGTACATCCTATTCTATAAAATTCAAGCTGTTTCTGGTACTCAGTAAGCACTCGGGAGCACAGCTCAATACCAGGGATTACAATGCTGACCGATGCTCTGTTTTGATTGAAAGATCCTTTCATGGCCAAAGGTATGCAGACAGACATGTCCAAATGAATACTTAAGTACGGCTACCTTCAACCTATCCCTATGAAGAAGTACCCACCAATGATCTCTTTTTTCTCCCTAGCAAATATAAATATCTGGTGTCTCTAGGTTTCTGAATGACAGGGAATGCAACTCTTCATTTTGATGGCTAGAGCTAAGCAGGGGGGTTTTGTTTTTGTTTTTGAACCACTGAATTACACAAAATAGAAACACTGGGACTTCAGCATTTTTGGCTATCGGATACATTTCTAAATGGGCACACTGCTGTATACTAAACAACAGAATGCAAACCAACAGACTAAAGTGACCTCCAACAGTGTGCATTTTTTTTTCTTCTTCAAGTACATTAAGACAAATTCAATAAAGCAGAGTAACATCTGAGATGGAACTTATTGGAGAGAAACATAACAGAAACAGGCGCTCTCACCACAGCTGACCTTGGCTTCAGCTCAAGCAAGGAATGTCCTCCAGAGCCATTGACATGCTCCTACAACTCCCTGCCCTTGTGATCAATTCAACTGAAACGTCTTGAGATAAACACCTGCCAGGAAACACAGCTGTGTCTTTTCCCTTTTTGACTTGTACAAAGTTTATCACATATGCAGGTCATATGATAATTTCATAATGACATGAAATTTGCATGAAAGGATAAAAAATATTGTTCCATCTTTATATACACCTTTCCTCCAGAAAGATTCATAAATACTGCCTGAAGATAAATTAAACTTTGGCATGGAATATAATTTATGAAAATTACAAACTACTTGAATTGATTTCACCAAAAAAGACATTAAATCTTGATGACTAGCAAACTTCTTCAGAGAAATGAAATGTGATGTTTAAATAGAATTAAAGCAGCAATATAAATTTTCAAAAATATTTTAAGAGTAAAGCATATCACTCATGTAGGTTATTAATTACGTAAATGCCTTATAATCATAAAAATGCTTTTAATCACTTATATCATAGCTTCTGCTAGAGCAGTAAAACATGACAGATGAAGAAAGAAATATGATTCCTCTTGAGAAGAGAAAATATGACATATTTTGTTACTTTTTTTTCTTTTAGCTGGTGTGCTTTTAGTGACTGCTTTTGTCAGAGTTAAAAGTTGCAAAAACCCAATGTAAGGAAAGAGGTAAGAAATACCCATTGATTGCTGATGACATTTCATTACTAGTAGTAAAGCTATGTAGTGTGAGCGTTGGCTAAAAAATGAATAAGGAAAGAAAATTAAATCTGGGTTGACTAGCACATTTTGGGACTTATTTATATCAGTTTTCTAAGCATCTGAACTTCAAGTTTTATACAAGAGCGGCTTCTTATCTTTGATAATATTACAATAAACCTAATATTTACAGCTGCATTTTGTACTTTAAAGCTTTACAAGCCCTGTTCCACCTACTTTCAAAAAGTCATTTCTAAATTATAGCAAAGAGGCTGACGTTTCCTACCTGGATTCATGTGGCTAAATTCTCTTCCTGTCTTTATCTCTCGGTCTCTTTTTCTTACACATACACAGAGGCACACACACATAGCTCTTTGCAAAGTAATGTCATCCCACAATTTATTTTTCGATTCCCATCATCTAACAAGGTACCTGACCTGTTTTCAGTGCTCAGTGACTATTTATGGAATGAATGAAGGAATGAATGAATGAGTGGACTCAATAAGTGACATTTGAGGCTTTCCAGTCCTTGATGTCAGCACTGGTGATCAGTTCGGATGAATAACCTATCTAGAGGCTGATTGTGAGTCTCAGGAGGGACTGACCAGTGGTGAGGTGTCAGCTCGGGAACTAGGCCTGCTTTCCTGTGCAAGTCTAAGGCAACCACCTTCATGATGTTGTTTCAGGGAGTATCAAAGAAGCCCGTGGTAAACAATAGCCCCTTCCCCCACCATAAGCCTGACGACACATCCCTCTGAGATGCTGTAACCTGTTTCACTGCATAGTTATCAACAGTAATCAGGAGTCACGTATCACTAGGAAGGGTGAAGGGTGGCTCACGGACTTAGAGACAACATCTACTGAAGTGTAAATAGCTGATATATTATTTTTCTCTGAGTAGATTTTGACCGTAAGAATGAAAAACAATAGGATTCCTCAGACACTTGAAGATAATATGCACAAGGAAGAAAGATAGAAAGAGTCTGAGACCACCTCAAAATTTGCTAAGGGGTGGCATAATCTCTTATTTCTGTGGCTCATGAAGCTAGAAAAGAAGGATTTATAAAATCACATTTACAATTACGAGTGCTTTAGGATATATTTTAATCATTACTTAGGTCTGAAGCGAAATCGTAATTTTCCTTGGGCCTGGTCATGCAGAGATCTTGGAGGGTTTTAGCACAGAGGGGCCTCAAAATGTCTCTTACCTACAAAGAGCTGGCTGTTCAGCTGCAATCGGAAGTGGCCCTCCTCCGAAGTCTCCCTGGTCATCCTTGGGAGGCTGTCCACCTGGAGTGAAGTCTCCTTGAGGTTCCTTTCAGCCCGGACATAATGCCATTGGTTGTCATTCAGAAGAGAAGGAGAGTGAACTATGAGCTCTACAGGGCCATTCCCAACATCAATGGCAAAAGTGATCTCAGACGGAGCTGAAACCAACAAGAGAAATAGGTAGAAAGTTGAGGGGAGTCGTCAGTGAATGAATGGCACACAACCTGAATGAATGGTATAAATGACTATGCGTCAGTATGAGGTGAAGATGCCTCCAGCTGAAATCTCTATGACATCGAACTTAGTGTTAATAGTAAAAACTTCCAAATACTAAGTCCCAAGCTCTTTCTCACTCACTGTGAGAATTCAGCCAATAGGATAGGGGCTAGGGACAGAAATGCCAATCTGATAAACATTCATTGGCACCAAGGCTTTGGGTTTTCTGGGTCTATTTTGGCTTCAACTATGCCCTTCATGGATATCTGTAGATACTGGATTCGTGAGCCAGCTACATTCCCGCTGGGAGAAGGTTGACACCCTTGGAGGTCTAGTGTTCTCTATGTTATTTCATTCATACATGTGATTATAATCATTCAGGCTAATCTTATGACTTTTTTTTTAAGGAGACTCAGAAAGTTTGAGTGCTTTTTTCAAGGACGTGTCATTGCAAGTAGTGGTGCCTGGGATCAAACACAGGCCCCCATCCACCTCCCATGACCCTTTCTGCCCTTTGATAAAGTTCTGCATCTCACACATGCCAGGGGTCAGTCAGTCAGGGGTAATAACACCTATGATAATGATGATGATGGTGGGGATGATGGTGGTGGTTTGGCCACATAGCCATTGAGCAAGAGAGAAAAAAGAGAAGTAGCAGGAGTACAACAGGTACAATGAACTCTGCTGAGTGCCATGCTAAGCACTACCCAAAGATTCTGTCATTTGAACCTTTCAAAGAAATCCCTGTGAGAAAGGCATCATTTTTATTCCCATTTTACGAATGAGAAAACTGAAGTTCAGAGAAGTACAACACAGTACAAAGAAGCTGACTCCAAAAGTAGAATTCTTCTCCATTTTTCTCTAGTGAGTAGGTCTTTTCATATTTTCCATTACTACATAAGAATTTTCTAAATTTGAAGGATGTGGAGAGGCAAATTATAAATTGATGTCAATAAGAAGACAGTCCCCTTTAAGTCACTGAAGCCTCCCTAGACAGGACCTTTCCTTCCTTCTCAGCACCTTGGTTGGCCTCTTCTACATTATACCTAAAGCAGGACATGGGTATATATTTGACAAAGTCATCAACTTCCAGATCTGAGTAATCAGGTAATCCCAAAGGTCCAATAACCATCCCAGACTACTTCCTCCTCAGCCTTTAAACCCAGAGAATGAGCCTCATTATAAGAAGCCCCCAGTAGGTAGAATTTGCAAGTAACTGAGGATTGAACTGTTTTGCATTCTGGTCAGTGTGGACCTTGACCTAAAGGGGAGGCAGTAAGGTAGAGGCCTTAAAATGGGATTTGACAGCATGGACTCTGGAACCACCATGACTTAAGGCACGTTTCAATCTTGTCACACCTCAATTTTCCCATTTGAAAAATGGGAATAAAAACAGTACCTCATTTTCAGGTTGTTTATGAATTAACCTTGACGAAGTTCACAGGACCTCGCCTGGCACACGAGACATACTCAAAGTGATAGCTATGGCTATTATAGCAGTGGCGTGGCTTAACAACTCAACTAAATGCCTTGGCTCATAAACCCAGACAGAATTGAAGAGAACAAATTGGGTTCAGCAATTAAAAGATTAAATAAGAGTGAAGTTGGCCCTTTGAGCCATTTCCTGTTTCTTATTCAGGCCACAGATGCTACCTCACAGCACTATATATCTTGAGATCAAATAAACACTAACTGAGAGATAACTGGGTCCTCAATTTATTTCTCTTTATAGAAAACAGGTAAAGATTGGTGAGAATTGGAGAGGAAAAATGTTAAAGATTTTTCTAAAAGCCTTCCTGCAAAGCTGGTCTTGTGGATATTAAGTTCTACGTGGACAGCACATCTTTGCAGAGCTCTTGTTCTACTGCTGTGTCTGCCGTCACCCCGTGACCCCCCGCCCCCCGCTTCCTTGTTAGGCTTCCTGTCTGGGCTTATCCCTGCTCCAACATTTGTCCTTCTGTTGTATAATGATCTGTTTATGGTCTGTCTCCCCAACTAGTCCACAAACTGTAGATGAACACCTGGTTTATTGGACACCTACCACCAGGGCTTATATATAGGGAGCTCTCATCCAACTAAAGGTTCATTCATTAAAATGTTACACCATATATATTCAATGCAGTTTTGTAAGTTTCTTTTTTTTTTTTTTTTTTTTTTTTTGGTTTATACCCAGGTATTAACTTCCTTGGAATTTTTAAAAATTCCAATTTTAAAAAATTATTTAATTTTATTTAGGTCAGTATTTAGGACCTACTTTGTTCACCCATTCCGCCTAGAACTGGGGTTGGGGGGGCGGAAATCAGTAATGCGATAATCACAGCTAATTGTTTATTGAGTGCTTACCATGAGCCAGACACTCTGCTAAGCATTTTCCATGAATGAACTCCTTAATATTTTAAGCCTCACTCTAGTCTCATAAGACTAGTCTCATAAGGTAACATATTACCCCTGAGGGAATTGTGCTGACAAGTTGTCCTAACCCAGATGGGGCAGAGTCAAGAATTAAATCCAGATTATGTGTCCCTGGAGTTCATTTTTTAACCTACTCTTCCTACGGAAAAAAAAAAATATATTTGTCTTCCAAACCTATTCAGTGGGGGGAGGAGGGGTCAAAACCTAGAATATATAACATAAGTGCCTGAATACATCTGAACAAGAATAATCTAAGTAAATGAGTGATACTTCCAACACTGACTAGTGACTCTGAGGAGGGCACCAGAAGCAAACGTAAGCCCGCTCTTATTTGCTGGAAGGATGGACGTCACCCAATGGTCCTAGACGGGAAAACCAGAAGCCCTGTGTCAGCCTTATCTCCCGCATGAATTTACCCCCTGGACTTCCCTTCTCCTTCATGTCTCACCAATATCTTCCCTCATCATTTGCTCACCTTTTGGTTGAAGACAAAGCCAAAGTAGCACTCAGCATTCAATGAGTTTTTACCAAGTCAGGCCTTGTGCTAGGCCTTGAGAATGTACAGATGAATGAAATCCAATGAGCTCACAAAGTACTTTCTTTTTATTTTAATTTTTATTTATTTATTTTGAGAGAGAGAAAGAGTTCATGCATGAGTGGGGGAGGGGCAGAGAGAGACAGAGAGGAAGAGAGAATCAAAGAAGGGACATGTTAAGTGGAGGAAAGTGCATAAGTGCAAGAGAGTATCTAGCTAGTATTTCTAGAAGATGAGAAGAAAACTTTTAAGGAGAGTCTCCTGTATAAAGTTCTTCCTTCCTTGAACCCCATGTTGGTGTACTCAGCCCCCACCCCATGTGGGGCATGAGAGAGATCCCAGGGACCATTTATGGACAAAGAAGAAGTCACCTCTCTGACCTTCCACGCATACACTGATAAAATGAAAAACATGAACTAGATGAAATATCATTAAACATTTTTGGAGACATGATCTGATGGAAACTCTAGGAAAAAAACACATACCCTTTGCATAAAATTTCAAGGAATTCCTGAATGTCTTCTGTCTCAAATCACAAAGATAATTCTATTTTCTCTTGAGTCTTAACATTCTTGGGCATTGAGGAAGTGTTGCAAAGCAGAATAAGGAACAGAGAGGTACATTGACTCTGGATTCTGACTCTTAGCAGCAGTGTGACTCGGGTTACTAACCAGGGTCACCTTCCTCATCTGCATATTGGAGTAAGACTTGAACAATGAAAATCATAGCGCAGTATCTTGATCATCAACAGGAGGGTTTGAGAGCAAAATAAGTAATAAATGTAAAATTTTTAGTACAGTGTCTATTCGGAGAAGACACTCAATAATTTAGTCTGAATATATTATATTATATTATATATTATATTATATTATATTATATTATATTATATCATATAAATGTATAAATCTAATTACTATTAATATTAATTTTATGATTCTCTGGAGATCTGAGGATTCCATCTTCAAATTCTCATCCTATTTGGTAATCTCTTTGGTAATATTCTTGATATGATACCACTAAACATCACAACTCAAGTCTCTTTCTCTCTTCCCCCCGATATACATA